ATAATTCAACACTGATTGGAAATAAATCTTTCTAGGTCAGTGCGAATTTAAATTCAAGTGTTGGTCCTGACAGTGCTTTACATACATTATATGGAGAAGGCAAATCAAATGAAATTGCCACAGATAGCAGATTTGTAAGTGTTGTTCATAAGCACTATTATTATTCATGATTTTTCAATAATAATTAGTAACTGTTACTTATTATTTATTAATCTATTATTATTATTATTAGTTAATAATTAATTACTAAATATTACTTTGTTTTGTTTAGCTTTGAACTTATTAGAAAATTTCATATTTCAATTTGTTGATTTGCAGTATTAATTAACACATCTAATTAATGCTGTTTTATTATTATTATTTCCCAACTGTAATGCGAATCGATTTGTCTATCACATTTGTGTAGTCAGCCGCTTTTGATCTCTATACAATATTTTACATTTGCAAAGTGGAAGAAAAAAGATTTTACATTTTTCATGGTAATAAATTTTCCAACCAAAATTTAAAAGCAAAGATTTTTTTTACGTGATGATTTTAGCAGTATCGGATGCTGCACTGCTTCAAATTAGCAGGTGAAACAGATTTCACACCTTCCAATTTCCCTACTCTATATTGTTACCGTTACAATCCGGCAAAGTATGGATCACTTGCGCAAACGATTTGCATTCCAGCATCTTGTTCTGAAGACGAAGGCAAAGTATTCAAACTTTGGACTTTGACTTAACATACTGTTAAATTAATTTGGGAAGAGAAAAAAATCAAAAATTTTAATTTGACAATAAATTATTTATTTAGCACTGAATAACGACTCACAGTCATGGAATAGTGATTTAATTACCAATCAAAACCTGAATATTAATTAGCAGCAAAAAAATTTTGATTGATTGCAAATTTGCTCCAAAATATCGCATGTCGAATTCAATGTTGATTATTTTGCAATACATTGGCATTTATTTTATCATACAAGATTTTTTAGCATTTCAATTAGCATTTTTTGCGTTAAAATTAACAATCAAAACTTTCAAATTTAGTATTGATATACTTAAGCTATGGGATATTTACGAGAAAGTACTCCAAATGCAACCAGTAAATGATGATAACATGCTTTCAACTTGTATTCGTTCACGAAACCTCAGGCAGTGGTATCAAAAACCAGTACCTTTATTAATCCTTCTGTATCTTTTAACTTCATGGATTATCGTTGGTTTATCTACTCATTATCATATTCGACATGGCACAAAACCAAAGTATATTTTGCATCGTATTCAATAAATCATTTAGTTAAAAGAAGTTTCAATTTATATAATGCAAGATTTTAACGCGAACGAATTAATTTGCTCTTACACACCGAATTTACAAAATTCAGTCACAAATTTGATAAATTCCTAACAAATGTAATTTTAGAGCTCTCAAAGAACAAATTTTTCTTGCATTTTCGATAAAACAAAACATTCAAATGTTGTTTCAAAAACCTAAAAACCATGCAAAGGTTATAACTTGTATGTTTGGAATACGATTCTTAACTATAGTCTGGATTATTGTTGGACACACATTTGCTTTTGTTTCGGTGATAATTTTTTTTACGTTTTGAATTTAATCAAAATTTTCACTTTTTTCAATTAAATATGCAACTTGCAAGCAGACTGCACCTTTCGATTGATTTTACTTTGCATTTTTAAGCAAAAATTTTGCATCAAATTGTTTTAGTTTTTGTTTTAATTTGGCACATTTTATCAATTGTAGGGATATTTTTTTGCTTAAAAATACATTATTATTTTTACAATTTAAGCCACAAATAAAAAATATCATCCAATATCGCCATGATATGACTAGTAATTTCTTAAACCAGTGGCTCACCAATTTTGTTCTTTCTGTTGATATATTTTTTGTCCTCGGTGGAACAGTGAATGCATACGGTTTTTTCCTAAATTATAGAAAATTAGGTGAGTATTTCATTAGTAGATAATTTAAATAAGATATAGTTCGAAATATTTGTGAATGACATGCACAATAATTATCTATTTCAAACAAATGAAATGATACCACAATTAATTATATTCAATTAAACGAAAGCAAATATAAAGTTTTATCTTACAAAAACACAATTTAGTGATAATTTTAAGAAGTTGAGTTCTGATTTAGAAAAAGACAAATACTGTATTAAGTGCGATGGTTAATCTGATACTTGCAGAAAAGAAGCCAAGTTGGACTTCAGTCATGTTTTGGCTGAACTTTTATTTTCATCGCATACTTCGCTTATGGCCAGCTTATTTTTATACCCTTATTGGTGTAATTTTTTTTGCAAGTTTACATTACCGATCAACGTGGCCAATGTATGATCCATTGACACAATGTCCAAAGTATTGGTGGCAAAATTTATTGTTTATAGCAAGTTTGTCCAACCACCACTGCATGGGGTGGACCTGGTAAATTATTTCTCATTTTATTTATATGAAATCTGATAATGCTCATAAATTTGAAATATTGACTTAGAAAGAATTCTTGAAAATATGAATTCCTATTCAGTTATGAAAAAAGTGCCTCAATAATTGCCTGCTTTCTATCAACTGTATATTATTGTGAACAGTCATGTTAACGATGTTCATAATGTTAATAATGAGATTAATGATAATATCAATCATTATCATTAATTATAATGCCATAATAATGTATATAGTATGCATTGTACATCATGGTAGCAATAACGATATTCAACATAACTTAACAGCACAAAAATAAGTTTAAATTATTTTGTGTAACAAAAAATTTTAGTCATGCATTTAATAATCACTCACGATATTTTAAATTAAACGGTACATTGAAAGACTAATATATCAAAAATTTCAGGTACGTAAGTACTGAATTTATTTTTTACCTGTTATCACCCATATTTTTGTTAACTTTTGTTCAAAATACAAATCACGGCTACTTGCTCTCAATTGTCTGCATTTCCTTATCGGATGCAGCACGAGCATACAATATGATTGCGAATAATATGCCACCGACACAACTTGGATGGTCTGAGCCCCATATTTATAATTCAAATTTTATGGAGGTTAAAACAGTTATTATTTTTGCTAATATTCGGTACAAAGAAAATTTTCCAAATAAATATTACGATAATTTTTGGCTATAGTAATAATTATAGTACATACAAAATTTGATATATGGATACAAAATTTGATATAAGATTATATCTTAATGATCTAATTGCTAGAAAAATAGAAGCCAGAAAAAATGATTAATATGATAGTTTCTTCAGAAAATTACAAAATATTAATTGAGAGTACGAGTAGCGAAAAGAATTGAGCTTTGGAAAAGCAAATATTTGCTTTTTTATTTATTTTTGAACAAGACTACAGTTAATCAAACAGACCTTCCAGTATTTTTACCAAACATGTAGTTTACCAAAAAATCTTAATCTCTTACGCCTAATATTAGAAAGTGTCATATCTATTATCTGTTTGAAGCAGAACTTAACAAGAAAAGTTTGGATTCAATTTACTACTAAAATGCAAAAAAAATGATAAAAGAAATAAAGTTAACTTGATTTTCCAAACTTCATGACTATGATAATTATAATTCAAATTTTCATTTGAATAAATTTAACAAACATGTAATCTAATGTTAATCGTTAGTGGTTTTATAAGTTTTGATAATATAATTTATATTACAATTACTGAATATTGATTTAGAGGTTTATCTATAGGGTATGTAACGAACATCTTTATCATTAGTCTATAATATCAGTACTTTATTTGCAGCATTTTTCGGCAACGTATATCAAACCACAATTCCGAATTGCTCCATACATTATCGGTTTGTGCTTGGGTCACTGTTTAGCGCAAATTCAGTTGAAAAAACTTGGGGATATAAATCTTTCGAAGGGTTTTCTTGTGTCTGCATGGATTTTAGCGATTCTCATTGCTTTCATTTCAACGTATGGTTTATATCCAATCTTAATGGTAATTATTTTTCCATCCATCATTAACCTGTTTAGAATATAATTGTTTTGACAAACAAAATTTTTAATTAAATTTGCTTTAGTAAGCTAAACTTTTGATAGCCAATATCGTATTCATGAAAGTTTGGAAGTAGTGTGATAACTCGGTTAACATCACTTGGAAATATTTTAAATTCTAGCATTTTTTTGAACTTGCTTATGTGAACTGAGCATCTTAATGAGGTTTGAAACTATTAATGAATCAGCAGCTAATATTCCATTTCACAAAATTATTCTTGCATATTTTAAACTGAACCCAACCAATTTTACTTTTAAATTGAAATCAAACTTGAGAATTATTTTTGTGAAGTTACTTTTAGAACTCTAATTGCAAGATTTATTATCTGCTTTATGGAGCACTTCATCGAACTGCATTTGCAGTTTCCATTGCCTGGATTATTTATGCATGCCATAATGGATATGGTGGTCTAATTAATAGATTTTTGAGCTGGGAAATATTTTTACCATTATCAGTATTATGTTACTCGGTATGATATGCTTCATTTAATTTCAGTACTGAAAATAGCTATAGTGTTCAAAATGATAAATGAAATTTTAATTCATGTAAGTACGGTTAGATAAGTCTCATTAGAGTTTTCTGTTAAAAAAAATTAGATGTAATTGACTTCAATGTTTATTTACTCACTAAATTAAACTGACAAAGGTTCACATATTACCAATACGATGCTTCGCCTTTCTAGTTTTTTCAAACACTTTCCATCGTTGCGAATCAAAAAAATCACTGACAACTCAAATAGTTTCAGGTATATCTAAGTCATTTTCCCGTCGTATTTGCAACATACCTAAGAATGCCTTTTCCATATATCTATAAAAGCAAGCGGTGTTTCCTGCTCAATATCTTATTGAATCTAATCTTCTCTTACATTCTTGGTTTACAAGCTTCAATCTTATCGGAATTTCCTGCATTAAATATCGAGCGATGCATCCGAAATTATCATTTGAAGAAAAAACAAGAAAAAGCGAGCAGTAATGATAAATGTGATAGTGGTATGAAAATAATGCAATCCAATTCTTGAAAGATTAAGATATTGTTTGAAAGCAACCTTAAGAAAGGTGAAGCACACTATATGATACAGAAGCATCGATTTAGGTACTGGAATCAATATAATCCAGTAATGACTGCAAATATGGATCTTCAAGGCAGACAATTTGGTCAGTTAAATACCAAATCATCTGTATATTAACTCTAAGAATGTGCTTCACTTTCACTTATCCTAATATGTGCAGCGAAGACCACCGGTATTGTAGTTAAAATAATTGCAAGAAAACGATGAAAATGAAAATATTAGAATAAATGTTGGTCAAACCGTCACTCGTAATTAGACAAGAACTGTATGGTGAAAATATATAAAATTTGATGTGTAAAACCTCAAATACAATTAAATAAATATTACTTGTTTACCAACTACAATTTGATAGAGTGGATAGTCTATTTTTGTAATTACAACACCTACACGTTTCGAATTTCTAGCATTGTAAACCTTAATGTATGAGTTCGGTTGCAACTTTCCTGCAACTAACAATATGCACCCCTTCCACACGACATAAGTTTCAGACATAAATAACAGTTTTATTAACCTTTACATAGCCAATCATGAGGCATATAACAACTTTGGTATCTTAAATGAAGAAATACAATACAGGATCCTGATCCTTAAGTGTATTCAAACAATGGATTTCCAACGAATGGTGGGAAATCAAAGTCTATAAAACAAGTAATCAAAATGAGTTTGATTTCTAGTTTGGGCTTAATGAATTTTTAAAACCACAATAAAAGTTTTCAGAACTCATGAAACATACAGAGCGGTTCTTTGATTCTAAAGGAAAGTGAACACTGTTTGACGATAAACGTGATAAGTATGACCCATATAAAAAGTAGAAGTGCAATAATCCCCTTGTAATTCAATTTTGGCTCACAGTTTCTTTTTTTCCCAACTGTCAGTAATCGATTACTTCACAACCAAGTAGATTAACAACAGATCAAATTATGTACAAATCTTTGTTTAGCTCTATGCCATATATAACGTGCAGATGTTCAACTATCAAAAAAATCTGTTAGCTGAAAATAGTATTAAAAGGAAAGGATTCATTTGTTCTGTTATCATAATATCATTGACGTACATCAGGCTGTGATTAATTTGATGTACGTGGATTACATCATAATAATGGAAAAGATAAAAAATATAAACAAAGAAACCTAGCAAAAGTGAAACAAAAAAGTACAACCATGCATAAAAATAGCGCGCACAGATAAATTCAATGGAAACTGAAGATTCAAATATGAATATCTAAAACAATTTCACCTAATTATGTCTTCTGACGTAGTGTAATAAAGGAACTGGATGAACTTTAGGAATACAATATTTTTTACTGTTTATAATATGGCAAGTAACTTCAATAAATAAGATTTTCATCAACGACTCGATAAGTACAATACTGATTACAGGAATGATTGAGCTTACAAACTAGTCGAAAAATAAAAAACAAGTTACGCAAAAGGCTCGAACGCAATTGTTCAATTTTATATTTTATCATTTATCCTATACGCAAATGCTTTGCACACACTGTTGAAAAGAAGATTTTAACTTACAGAGTCTTCCTTCTTTTCAAGAAATGAAATTATCATAATTTGCTTCAATGAATCATCTTGCATACAAGAGCAGTAGAAAATGAGTACAAATTCATTTTACAAACGAATACCCACCGAGTCACATTAAAAGGCATTGTTCATGATCAGCAACAGTTGTATTGCTTACTATCGAACTTCTATCTCTTTCGACACATTCGCCATTTACTTCATCCTTTTCTCGAGGTGGAGTAAACGTCCTTTTAACTAATTCCATTGCAGCGAGAGTCGGTACTGGTTGGCTTTGAACTGAATAATTTTTGGGGATAGTTCCATTTAATGCAATGTGGCTATCCAATATAAATGAATATCCTAGAAGTTTTTTCATTTTTTAAATAAAATAAGCAGCATATTTTACTAGTAATTTTTGAACATATGTACATAAACAACAATGCGAAAATTAATATCTAAATAAATATTTTTCGTGATTAAATAATCTCAATGATTGACCGAAGTCAATCCCTGAGATTATTTAATCACGGGAGAAATGAAGGTTATAGAACATCGAATTTAGAATAAATCGACAAAATTAGGCCCATTATTGAACAGGCTTTCGAGCTTTTCTAGATCAGTTACCTTCCCTCTTTGTATCTTTTTAATGTTAGTGAAACTCTAATTTTACAGAAAAAACACACCCGGTTTAAATGGAATGCTTTGATTAGTAAGTGTTGGTGTCCTTTCATCGACTGTAGATGCCGTTCCAATTACTTGTCCATATGAACTTTTGTTTGTTAATACACTATTATTAAAATCACAAGCGCATAATTCTTTACTACCTGCACCACTTTCATTCGTTTCTCCAATCATCAATATGTGTCGCTTGTAAGCGTCGATCAAAGCCCGATAACCAAAGCTGGAAAAGAACTTTTTTGCTAACCTATTTTTATACCTAAATATTTTCATCATTTAATCGTGAGTCTAGAAAAATAGAAAATAATATCAAAGATATTCTTAACATATATGACATTCCTCTGAGCAGTCACAAGAACATATTTTCAAAGATTTGTGAAACACAAGATTTACAATTTTAGAAAAAACATTACCAACTGCTGACAGCCCAAATTTCCAGTTGCTCTAATCCTTTAAGCAATTCGTCAACAGCATGAGAACCACAATTTTGCACAAATTCTCGAGTGAAATGTTTCCTGAGAAATGATACGTCACGCCGTAACAAACAAAGCTAGAAATAAAGTAACCAAGAATTGAAAATTATTTCTATTTACAGTCGAGTAATATAATTAGCAGTTTTCTTTTCACAAATATAACAAGCCATCTAAATAAATTATTTTATTCAACTCTTTTTAATCTTGCCAAAAAAATGATCTACTTTACCTTCCAAATCTTATAATGAGAAGTTCATCGTAAAAAAAGTATAGTGAATCTTGTTTACAAATCTTAGTTATGAAATACAAACACTAAAATGAATCAAAATGAAGTGAAAAAAATTTTTTGAATGAAAGTTTAAAAAATGCATTCGAATTCAGTATACTCAACTAAATAAAACTTTCATACCAGGAATGTCCAGTTAGCATAGCCAGCTTCGTACATCATGTCTAACATATATTTTAACTCCAATTCACTTTCTTGAGTTCCACGCGCAGCAATTTCACCACAGATTTTTTGGAAACCTTGAAGTAAACATGTTTATGTAAGTAATACCAATACAAAGCTAAAAGTAGCAAGAAGAAAATTCCCTTTAATGTATGACGGAAGCAGCTTCTCTTTCTTAGCTGCTCCCACCTTTCTTGCATCTTATAATACGATTAGAATAAAAAACCAAGTAACCTTCCCAGTCACTGCCCGAATTAGAAATGCATTCTGCTGATGGCGTACTAACCGCAGATTGTGCACATACCAACTCTTTTTTATCTGCAAAAATAAATTGGATAGTTTTTTAGTCCGAATTAAAGATCGAAGTGGATCATACTCAAAAATTACAAAAAAATATTACCTTCTATGCTTTCAGTAGGTATTGAATTTGAAGCCTCAACTGATAAATTTTGTTGTTGTTCTTTATTACAAAGCGGAGTACGGTTACTCGCAGTAGATGCAAGTGCTAAATACAACATGACGGAGCATATATTTTTTGATATTCTTTTCTTTAGAATTATGATAAAAACATTATCTGAAAACAATCAAATACTGATGAAATTGAGCTTTTAAACTTCTAGTATAACCCACACTGTAGACTTTTCAGTGACCTATTGCTTGCCGAAATTTTGATGCCTTCTATTCGTTTTGACAACTGCTCCATAATACTCTGACTTACTAGCGGATAAGGCCATTTGAACTGTGTATGCAACCGCATTAAAGCCAATGCAAAATCACTGATTTGGGCTACATTATGCTGCTGCATTTGAAGCCATCTTACTAAGTCGAACTCCAAATATGCAGCAAATGCACCTAAATTTTAAAAAACCATAGATAAAGCTATACTATAAAAACTCATAACTATCTCTTGTTTATCATGTTTAAAAGCTTTTGAAGCTGATTAATTCAGAGATTCAAAAAAACACACATTTTAGTGAATAATTTCCTAGCCATACATTGCGAACTACAGTTTTATCTTCAGTGGTATAATCCAAACTATATTTTGCCATACACTTCAAGACTTTTCAGCAGAAAATTGCCAACCTAAATCCTGAATACTACAGTCTTCCAGCAAATGGAGAGCATGTCGATTTAATACATCATCAAGAAAAGAGAACATCAACGCATTAACTGGACTTGGTGGCGCATCTAGAGAATTCAATCTCTGAACTTTCTTTCCAACTGATTCTTTTCGTCCCAGTAAACCATTACTAGAGATACCATCCTGCTGTGACTGTCGTAGCCGTTTCGTCATACCTTCATTAAATAAAATGTTTAAATATGTTCCATAATTTGAAAATCTTCTGTGGTTTTTATCGATTCCAGATTTAAATGAAAACTGGCTAATATAATTTCATAGTAAAGCAAAGCAGGAGTTGGGTAGAACGGATACAGTCCCGTTCGAAAATAGAGTAATGCCTAACTTGGTGCAATATAGCTTCCAAAAACAAAAGATTTTGTTTCTTCACTGTCATTTGTGGATCTGCGTGTAGATATACGTGACATGACACTTGCTACGTTGCGATGAGGCTTCGAACACGGAGTTCGCAACGGATAATTGGTGTCGGATGGATCAATAGCGCGAAGAAAGCGAACGATATCACGTGCTGTTAACCATTTTCGTTTTGAGAGAGTTTCTTCTAACAATATTGTAGCATGCTTTAAAAACAGCACTTACAGTAAAATTTAGTGAGCGTCGAACGAAATGTGATGACGAATAAACAAAAAAGTATTTCGTATGCAAGCATCAAAAACATAATTTCTGATGATTATACCTACATATAATACACTTTAATAAATTAATGAAATCTATGAATCATATTTGTCATTCGATTGTCCAATTCTCATTAAAAAAATAAAAAATTTAAGAAAACTGAAATATAATTCCTCAAGCCAAAAACTCTAACCTCCTGACTGGCAGACACACTTTCCATATTTTGCAAAATGATTAAGAAGCTAACGGCCGTTTCAAGTTGTCCATCATTAATACATTTTTCAAAAAGATCACGTGGATGTCCTGTTACAGCAAACAAAGCATGCCACAAAGCTAGTTCTGTTTTTCGTGCACAATGAGCAATTGTTTGCAGATAATTTGGAAATTTTTGAATAAAAGCCACTACACGAGGTAACAACGGATCTGCAAAACAACAAGTATTGAAATGAAGTTGTTTTAACTTCATAGTTTATATTCATGTTGTAATCAATGAAGAAATCCTTTGCAATGAAGAAAAAGTATTTTTTTTTCTAGCATGCAAAAGATAAGTTTCGCAAATAAAAAATGCAAAAGTTTTCGCAAAAAAAAAAGTAACACGCCAACAATATTACAAAAATAGTTTTAAACATTTAACTTTTATATTTAGAGATATTATTGTCTTATCTAATGAGAAATTACTCAAGAAAAAATAGTTCCAAAGATTTACGGTAAAAAATAATGAAACCTATGAGTCATATTTGTCATTCAATTGTCTAATTCTTTATTGATGAAATATAGGTGAAAATCAGACCTTACATAAACCGACAGTCTTGAAAAATCCAACCTGGTATTGGATCTGATGATGTCGCTTCTTCTTCTAATACATTATGTAATAGCAATTCTAGTACATGACCGAAATACGGTAACTGATTACACGTAGCAGCAATTTCTAATGCATACACCCCCAAATTTCGCTTTAAAAGCTGTCGCAATAAATGATGAAGAAAAACCTGAAAAATGAAAAAGAAATTAATCAGCATGTAGACACGTAGTTGAGCTATTTTTCTTCTAAGTATAGCTAAAGCAAGCAATTCAAACGCTCTACATGAAAAATTTTTGAGAAAAATGATCGGAATTGATGAGGTACATTTTTTGGACCACCTGTCTTAATCAAACAGCACTGCAGTAAAACATTTAAGAGCTGATAAGCCTAACATCAAAGATAGATCTGATTCACCTCACTTTTACGATGCAAATTATATACTGGCAAATGCTTCCTACAGTCTGTTTTATCTGAATATGCCGGGCAACTTTCCATACCAATCGCCAAGCAGTCTCTACTACATATAACTGCAATACATAAGAGTGTTACGAAAAATCAATGAAAACAGAAGTGACCATTTTTAAATTCTCACATAATCAAAAATGCTGATAGAAACATCAATGATACTCTTTTTCAGACAAACCAATAAATCTGTCTCACAAGCTTTTGAACAAATTCTTTTAAGAAAATTAATTTAAATTAAACACCGAGGGGAGTGACGTCCAGTTCAAACGGTAACATGATTCTTTTGCTGATGAAAGTATGGTATGAGTCGAATTTGGCACTACTGTCTCTTTCTGAAGTAAACAACGGTATCCATACCTGAAAATCAAACAGATATGAAACAGAATGAAAGGTTATCCCAGTTTGTTGACAACACCTGAATTTATTAATGCAGAATATGGATCACCTTCATTCCCTTAACACCACAATTAAGCCATAAAGCATGAGTTAGATGAGGTTTACGTTCAAAAGTACTGTTCATAGCCACTTCATGCCATATATTTTCAACATAAGAAGCTATCAATATTGGTTGACTAAGCTGAAAAAAAGTGGTTTTGGAAAAAGTTGGCAATCAAAATAGTTTTGCAACATAACGTGTTTGTTATATTGCAAAGTCTAGAAATAGGAAACCACAAAACCAGGCTTTAAAAAAACACTCTCTGTTTCTAAAAAAACCAAAGTCAGGAATCTAAAAAATTATAGAAAAACGAAAATACGACTATTTATTCAAAATCTTTCATTCTTAGCTAAACATTGTAGACCTGAAAATATGTTTCGTCATCCTGATCATCTTCACTGTCAGATAAATTACTTACAACACCATCTCGCTTAACAGGATTAACCATTATCAGTCGTCCACAAACATTCAGTAAAACCGTGTCTACTCCATCGCAAAATTTTACAGCTAAAATTAAACAGTTCATATTTGGAAACAATTTTCTTGAAATCTTCACATTATCATCGACTGTATCATGTAAAGAGACTCACGTGAATCATGGTTCAATGCCGCCAGTTCTACGGAAAGAACACAGGCTGCATGAGGCACTAAATCTTGAACACGTATTTCCACACATCTATAATGAATGTGTTAACAAATCAAGAATTCCTTAAAGCAGTATCTAGACAATTTTAAAATAGTCAAGAAGTCACTAAAGGTGGTAGAAAACATCCTCAACTGAATTATCATGATTTCAAAGCATGAAACTATAAAGGTCTTATCTGAGAGCGCATAATTTTTGCGCCGTGAATAATCACCGATACACAGAAATAAAAGACCTATCTAAATCACCTCAAAAAAAAAAATTTGAATATGTAATTTTTTGCAGTATTCTCTTCCCTTTAATGATATGATGACTTTTTTAAATACCTGTCTAGTCGTATTACTTGTTCTTTATTTTTGTGATTCTTTTCCAGGAATATAGTGAAAATAAATATGCATGAATCAATATCAAAGGTAATCAATTTGTTATGCCTGGAAAAAAGGATAAAAAGTCATTTATCAAATTTCTAAAAATTTCTTGATAATGGTTAATTAGAGTAAAAACAATAAATAGCTGCTTTCTGAATGTGTTATGCAATGTTTTTTTTTACTCAAATTTTTAATCGGGAGTAGATGCTAAAAGATTATTTAATGAACTGCATTACATGCGAAAACCCGAAATAACTCACCGTCGAGTCAAAAGAAGTATTCTTGAACTAACAGGATGCTTGATACAAAACTGATCATTTAACTGATTTTCTAAAGGATAAAATCGTAATTCTTCTTTACAACGATCAGTATCATAACAAGCAAGCACAACATGCTCATAACATATCGTCATTCCTCCAGTGACAAACATATCTCTTTCCTTAACAGTAGATAAGATAACGCTGATCACGAAAAGAAGTACAAAAAGTAAAAGTTGAAGACAAATTTCTTTCACGACTGGAAGACCAACTTTTCAAAATGTTTCTTGCACTTTTTTCGAAAACATGAACTTATTAAGCACTTTATAATATTATAAATTTCAATCACACGGATTATATGCAGTAACTTTTGTATGTTTGGTACTGACTGGCAGATCGCATCAAAAAGAAAATCTCAACTATGATTTCAGTTTAAAAAAATAAAGCAGTTATATTAGTTATCAAATTGTTACCTGTGATTCATTTCCAAACATGCGCCACTTACATGCAGCAAGATTATGATGTATGAACCCTCTCGAACCTGCAACGGCAAGCCACTGTCCACAATCATCCATTTCAACTAGCTAAACTGTGATCTACTTATGTTTTGAATTTAAGACAAAAACGTTTCAAATGTTGGAAAAAATAAAGCTAAGCTCATAAAGTCGTTAAACTGTGTATGTTCATTTTTCAAGTAATACAATTATAAAGAAACTTTCTCTATCTTCACTTCATTCTCACAAAATAAGTCGCTATTAATCAGATAAAATTATTTACCCTGATAGGCCAATTAGATGATAAATAACTGCTAGGTATAGGGAGCACATGCCAAATGCTGTGAGGTGCACTAATATTTTGTTCTCGTTCTTTCGCAGCACTCAAATAAATATGCTTGTCTGAGAGAAAAATAATTCTCTCAGTGCTTTCCTGCAATTAAAAATATATAAACTGTTCAAAGAGCTCAAAGAGCACAAATACAAAGAAGAACTCTGTGATCAAAAGCAGTAGAATTATTCGTTTGCTTCTAAATAAGCTTCTTAAATTACAGCTACTCTATACAGCTTTGAAACAAATCTGGTTTAACAAACTCACAATGCCATTTGAATTCACAGAATGTGCTATAGGTAAGACATGCAACCCGACATCGGTAGCCAGCCACAAACTGAATCCTTCTGGGCCCCAATCGACCCACTGGTAGGAATTCGCAGCATGGAAGTCCCTAAACCAGTTCATAACTCTATAATACTGATAAAAACGGTAAAGTATGGTTACGAACCAACTGAAATTATCATGTGTGCAATTCTGAGCTTCATGATAATGCAGATATAATGTAATGAGGAGTACAATTCTTCGAACATTTCACAACAAACTCTTTACTTATGTACTACATTAAAATCTTTCAAATATAATATTCAATGACAAAACATGCACAACGAAGATGATGGGGAAAAACCTATCACTAGACGATTCGAGAGAGCACCATAACTGAGCACCAAATGAACTGAATATTGCAACGATTGGCAATGTACTTGAATCACCTTCACGTTTGTCACGCAGCAATGGTGACCAGACCGCTGTTAGGGCAGTACCTTGTGTGTGGCATTCTACATGACGAACTTCACCCATCCGATTCAACAATTCTGAATTGCAGCAATCATTATCTAATGAGATAAATATGAGAAATGGATATGCAGGCAATTTCTCCCAAAATTTCGATCTTATTTCAGCTTTTCAAGTAGACAGTTATCCATATAAAAAATTGAAAATTCTGACAATATCACTTTTTTACATGAATCAAAACGAACGAAGAAATAACACACAAAATAAAGTTGACAGAGGAAGAGAAAGGAAAATAAAACACGAATTTTAATTTGAAACTAAAACTTAGATTGGCAGCAAACCTGGTCCATTCTTTACTTCCAAAGCTATGCGATATGTGCATGTTAGTGAGCCATTCCCATCCTCTAAGTGAAATACAGCAATATCACCACTGAAAACGACCAAAGCCATTTTTGATAGAGAATTGTAAATTTGAAAATCCACAAACTTTCAAAAGTACGTACTTTTTACAGCCATAAACAATTAATCGATACTTGTGGTTTACTGTAGTACAAACACCATCATTCAAATGCAGTGCCCATACCCCTAACAAGTCCTGAAAAGGACTCAAAAAAACCATCTTCTTAATGATGAGAGACAGACTATAAATTTTAAAAGTTTACTTTGTTTAATGCTACTAGAAAAAGCTCTACTATCCGATAAATCACTTAACTTCCTTCCATGAATCTAAATACCAAATCTTTGGCCGCTACATTTCATTACAAAATTAGTCACAGATACAAAAATAGAAGGAATCTAATTAAAAATGCAAACAGATGGAAGGTATCACTAAAAAATAGGAAATAAAATATGTGCTGTTTTTATATTCTATTGAAAACTCGTTAAAAAATACTTTTGGCAGGAACTTTGATGAAGGTGATGTTAAAAGAGCAGCGGTACCATTGGAAAGCACTATACTAAATCCACCAATCAAAGGAGCATATGCCATATCAACAACATGTGCCCCAGATTCTTGTACATACTCAGCTAAATAAATTAATACCTGAGCATAATTGCAATGCCTTCTTTATAAATTCAAATAAAAAAAAATTAGAACATCACAATTATATTTCAAAATGCCCGTTTGCTGAAAATAATGAATAGATTTCACACACTGTTCCAACTTACTTTTAGATTGTAACTGATCGACTGCAAAAGGAATATCGAGTAAGTTGAATGAGAAAGTTTTATCAACTATGCCTTCCCACGATATGCGATGTAACCAACCATCTTGTAAGCAAACGAATAAATCATCCCGAAAAGGCACGATACTACAACATAAAAAAAATACAGCAAGATAGTATGAAATCAAAAAATCATAAAATAAAAAATACCCAGTTCTACGAATCAATAAAATACTATTCTTTTTAGAAGAAAATCATCTGTTTTTGTTGAGTTGAAAGATTTTAATTAACTCATGACAATATAAACCATCGAAAAATTTAAATGTCCAAATAAATAACATCTAAAGGCTTGCCAAATCACTAACCAAGTTGATGTGCTATAAAGTCGCGCAACAACTGATAAATATGCTGCAATTTGAGGCCTTTTTTCTTTAATGAATAGCTCAGAAGAAGTACGTCTTAGATGCACTTCGAGTGGTTCAGTAAAGGTGAAGGACTGTTTATCATAAGATATATCCAATCCGTATAACAGTAAACAATTTTTAGACGTCTGAAAAAGTTATACTAAACTGGTGCAGTACATATCGAATGCTCATTTGCAAAAATTTTTTACCCTGTTCATAATGAGAAAATTTGACTCATACTCACATACACAGTAACACTATTAACAATGATGTTTACAACATTTTCAGTTAGTCACAAATATTAGCTATAAAAAAACCTTCATAAAACAGAAATTTAATTGTTGAACTTATAAAGCAGTAAAAACGATATTTACATGAATTATGAAACCTATTCATGGAACTAACACTACTTGACAGCTACAACACAGGAACCACATAAAGGTCCAGAAATCATAATAAAGAGAAAATCCATTGCAGATTAAATCACAACACTAATCTACACTGCATGAATTTGAAACATTATCAAATATGATAAGAAATCACGAACAAACCGTAAAACATATAGCAGTAGAATCATTTCGCCAATAAACTTTCCGATATTCACCCTTTTTTTTTGTGTCTTCTTCAGATCGTTTAAATGTGCAAAGCAGCAACTGAGGCTAAAAAATTCGACACATAGTCAATACTATACAAATGAAGTTCCAAACTTTTTAATTTTCGAAAAAAGACGTAGACCTCAAATAAACAGAACTTTTGAAAATTTAATAGCAGTCGTTAAAAATACAAACAAATGATTTTTAAAAGATGCCTGAATCATGTAGTGAGAGAAAATGCTCAATGTTTTTTAAATAAAACCATCTTAAATAAAAAATGCAGGGAATTCTCATAGTGGATATTCTATAAATATCAGTAAATTTGATTTAATAAATTTTACAGCTGTAAGTAGAATATTTAATATACATACATGCGCTAAATATATGTAAAAAATAGATGAGGTGACAGCAATAAACAGAGTCTTGTCACGGTTCCCGACTACACAATGTACACGTGGCTTATAATTTTCGCTGCTTTTGCTACATCCAGGTAATCGTAAGCTGTGCTCACTACCATCCTAAAGAAATCAAACGTGTATAATACTTGCGAAAAAACATGAAATTTAAAGAAAAATGCTTAAAATTTTTTCTAACAAAACCATCTTCAAATGTTTACTGCAGAGCATTTTCATGGCGGTTACTCCATAAACATTAGCAAATCCGATTTCATACAGGTGTATATTTGTAAATTGAAAACTTGAGAACTTATCGCATGGAATGTAATTTATAATTTTTAGCAGCTAACAAAATAAACTAATCGAATTTATAAAAAACGGATACAGGCCAATTTTTTCCTGCATTACACAACCGATTTGAATTTGAAGGTTACAAAAATATCAATGCAGAAACAAGGCAATGGGAAGTTTCTACAATAATATAAAGTCATCAAAGTATTCAAGCACAACCAATCAGACGAGAAACTGAGTTACGACACTATTTTTCAAAAGAATCATTGATTCCTTACATCACGATGAAAAACTGACTAACTCTGTCCTAAAACTTCATTTACGATTGCACAACCGTAGCAGTAGTTCATTAAATGATAAAATCAATCCTTAGAATCATTAAACATATCTCTTAATCATTTATAATCGTCAAAATGATAAGCCTTTCATAAGGACTATTTTAAATTCTGAAACCTGTGGCAGATATTATAGAAACTGCATACAGAATAATGTTCATCTAAAAATTAACTGAAGAAGAAATAGTGCAACTTAAACATTCATTTATCGAATAATTAAAAAAATATCATCATTATTTTAATGCAATTTAACAGCAATTGAAAATGTGATACAAAATTTGTGTTAAAAGCGCCAAGCTTTACAGTTAACATGAGATTTTTCCGTTAAAAGTACCTTAAGTTACTATGAGTGTAATTATTACCGGTAAGAACATAATTATCTCAGTTGATTGACGTGACACCTTTTAATCACCACCTGCTTATTTCAGAGATGATAAACATTATTGAAAGTGCTGAAAAATTACTGAAAAAATTAAAAAAATTTAATTCCGAAAAAAAAACAATTAAAAATGATTAAATATTTCTGCGCTATTTAAACACATTAAATGAATTTCAACATCTAATAGAAGAAATGCAAAAATAAACAACGAATTCGTCTCAGTTAATACACCAGCAATAAATAATTATCAATGAAGATAACTATTTTTAGTGAAATATAAAAGTGATATGGCTGTATTTGTGTTGAATAAAACTGAAGTTACCCGGTAAATTCTTCTCCCATGACCCAGATGTTTTTTTAAATGCATATGACAACAGTGCAAATCTTAAAAAATAAATGAAAATCCACCGTATTTTCGCACTTTTTACTTAAATTTTGTTTAAAAAAACACATCACCATTTTAAAAAAAAGTAAGGCCCATAAATGACTATGAGAAGTCGATATGAAAATTTAACGTCTAAGGTATGGATCAAAATTAAATTAAGTCAACAAGCATATTTCCAGCCAAATTCAAATTAATTATGAATTTTGAACGCGGTATTTGTTTAATTACAATTTGATTATTTAGTGGTAAAAAAGTAATT